CAATGAATGATTTATAATAACAAAAATAATTTAAGAATAATAAACCAAAGGAAATCATCATCATGTTGCATATTGTATAACAACTACCAATAGAAATAGTAAATAAATACTGAGCATTACATTACTGTAAAAACATCATCAAAGAGGAAAAACTGCCCTGCCGCAAAAATGAAAAAATTACCTAACAAGAAGTCTCCATGTTTCTTGAAGGTATTAAAGTTAACGAGAGATTGGATGCCATAGTGTTAATATGATAAAGAAAGGAAACAATCAAATGTGTTTGTGAAGAAGTGAAGGTGTAGTAGAGAATGAGTACGGTTAATTGTTAATACATACAAAAGAATTGAAACAATTCCAAGGAAAATGAACAAGACAAACAAAATGACGAATGAAATAAGTACAAGCAAAAAACTGCGCCATTGTGTAGCATCAAGATAAAAATGAAGGACGAGTTTTAGTAGCTATAGGCATTATTTGTCTTCTCTCTGCCTCTTTAATCATTTCTCGTACTAATTTTACAAAGTAAAAGCGTCTGAGCATCAATTTGACTATAGACTCCCCTCCTTTGATTGATTGGGCTGCATCGATGTCTCCTTGAACTGGTTTCAATTGATACTTTTCTATTAAAATACGAACCATTTCCAAGTGACCACTCAAACAAGCAAAATACAAGAGACCTTTAGAGTTGTATGTTTCTAAATAACGATTGCAGTTTAGTTTATTCAAGTAATGTAGTACCAATTGCATGTTACCAGCTTGACAGGCAGCATGAAGACCAGTGAATCCATTACTGTCTTTGTCTTCAGGATGAATATTAAAAGATTGAATGAGATACACTGATATCTCATAATGTCTGCTAGCGTAATGAAGTGGAGACCGACCAGATTTATCTTTAGGAGTTGGATTATTCCTAACACGAGGTACAAGATACTCGTATATCTCTTTATCTCCTTGCTTTGCTATTATGTGTAGACATGTCACTCCATCTTTATCCTGTGACTCTGGATCAAGACCGTGTGATTCTACTAGGAGTTGTATTAGATCCTTATTACCACTCTCAGCAGCTCCATGAAGCAATCCTTCTTCATCATTATTGACACTGTAAATATTAGCTGGATACACCTCAGAGAGATACAGTGCCATCCTATAGTGACCATTTTGACAAGCTAAATGAAGAGAAGAACAACCATTATCATCCACTGCTCCAAGGAGCTTCACATGATTTGTAGTACCAGTAGTGGCTGATAAGAGAGACACAACTGAATTAACGTGACCATTAGCTGCTGCTAAGTGTAATGGAGTCTGTCTCTTCTCATTAATTGAATAAATATCAATATTAAGAGACTTGTAAGCTTCTGCTATAGTAAACACTATATCAGGATGACCCTGGCTGCATGCTGCATGAAGTGCTGTGTTACCATTGCTATCTGGCATGTCTATATATTGTACACGTGGTTTATTGTAGCTTGGACTATCTAATAGGTATTCTACTATTTCCAAGTGACCCTCTTGAGCTGAGAGATAAAGTGGAGTACGACCAGAAGCATCAGTGATATCAGGGTTACAGTAAAGACCATTGATGAAAAACCTCAATATATCCAGAGACCCCCCCTTTGCCGATATGTGTATTACGTTAAACCCTTTATCGTCCAGTATAGAAATGTTGCAGTTTTTACTGTTGAGGTAACGAATGATGGAAAGGTTCTTAGAGAAAGCTGCAATAAGTAGTGGAGTACGTCCAAAAGAATCGGTCATATCAAGAGATAATGGTGAATGGTCTATAATGTACTTGACTATACTCAATGATCCTTCTTCACAGGCTATATGAACTGGAGCCATTCCATTGTAATCTTTAATAGTGAGATCTAACTGATGCTCCTCCACTAGATGTTTGAGTACAGGAAGAAAACGACTTTTACATGATAAATGAAGAACTGTTGATCCATTTGAAGTCTTAGCTGATACGTCGCACTGAGGAAGACTAGTGAGGTAGAGAACTATAGCAACAAGTCCTTTCTGACACGTTATGTGAAGGATTGTAGTTTTAGTATCATCAACGGTATTAATATCAAATGAATAATTGTTTAATAAATGTTTTAAACAATGCAAATGATTGCAATGCGCAGCAGTAAAAGGTAATCCACCTTCCATAAATGAAACTACATTGATATGATACTCTTGTCTGACCCATTCCAGTATATGAACATGTCCATACATCGCTGCAAAATTCAATGGTGATACTTTAGTGTATATTCTTGGATTATGTTCGTATTGTTTTATTAATAACTTTAAAAGATCAAGATTACCAGAAGCACAGGCCCATGTGACACAATTGAGGTTATTCATATTCTTAGCACTGTCATCATGGTTCATTTTATCAATTAGAAATGTCACTAGTTGTACAACACCACTAGAACAGGCAAGTTGAAGTGGTGTTGCACTTTCATCATTATTCAAACGTAATAGACTAGGATATTTTGGATAAATATCAATGATATATTTAATAAATGGATAGTGACCAGCCTCTGTAGCAAAACAAAATATATTCCTATTGTCCCCATCACTTTCATCCAAATCACAGCTACAATCATTTACTAGATAGTCTAAGACATCAATAACACCAGTTTGAGCTGCAGAATGAACTGCACTTTTACCATCCTTACCTTTAACATGAGGATCTAGCTTGTACTCATCTATTAATAATTTAATTAATGGCAGCTTTGCACTATTGACAGCATGCAGAAATAATTCTGGTGTGAGAAGCAAGTGATGATTCTCAATGAGGTATTGGATCAGCTTCATATTTCCACTTGCAATGCTATAACCATCAGCTTTACCACTGCCCTGTACTTCACATAGATATTGACTCAATTTAAGGTGACCATGGCTACATGAATAATGAAAAGGTGTTTTACCTTCATCACAGGTTATATTAATATCAATGTCAGTAGTATTGATAATATATTCTACGGCATTGATACTACCTGACATACAAGCTAATGCTAATGGTACTACACCTTTATAGTCTGGTTGGCTGGCATTCAAGCTATACTGAGATACGGTATAACTGAGTAGAGTAGGTGAACCTGATAAAGCAGCATAATGTACTGCAGACCGACCCTCATAATCTAATGAACTTGTATTAATACCATACTCCTCTAATACCTTCGCTAATAATATACTACCACTAGTACATGCTAAATGAACCAATGATTGACCAGTAGCAGTAATAGAATTTATATCGAAATTATTAATAACGCTTGTCTGCTTGAGAAGTGTAGACAGAAGGATCACTCTTGCATGTTGTTTATTAATATTTATATTTAGTGATACTATGCATTTCTGCCATTCTTCCTTGGTTTGTTCATTAAATGTAGCTAATTTGTTGACTAAAGGTATATCACATGGTGCAGTGAGCTTATTATACACTTCTGTAATGCAGTATTTATCAACCAATCCACTGCATAAGTAATGAAGAGAAGAGCAACCACTATAATCAGCTTCTAGTAATACCTTGTATCGAAACATATTAACCGTTTTCATAATAAAACTTGATGAAGCGGCATATTGGCATGCGACATGAAGTGGTGTTTTACCAAACCGATCTCTTTTGTTTAAATTAGTATTGTAATTTTTTTGAAGATACTCTAGAAGCTCTACACTATCACTCATAGCACAATAATGTACTATTCCACATCCGTTAAAATCTATGTCATCTTCTGAAAAAATA